TTAGCAAAATATTATTAAGTCATTATTTTTCCAAAATTGCTGCCATCAAACACTTATAGTCGGGAATTTGACCCCAAGTAGTGCAACCACCTTCTTCTACCACAACTCTAGCGTCTTTCAGAGAAGCCATTTTGGGCGGAACCCTGGTAACTTTAGGAATAGCAGAAACGTCTTCAGTAACGGTAGTTTTCTGAGGAATAACTTCAAAGGTATGGCAAAGAGTCTCGATGAAGAATCAGACAACGCAAGAAGCAAGCATACATGGACTTTAGTTTGCATGTGAATTTACATGGTTTTTGCTTTATCATCTTGCATTATAACCTCTAATTGTAACATGAAATATAATGAATTAGGGTCGACTGGGGTTATGATCGGGGATTGGGTTTTGTTCTTGTTTATTTTTCTTGATCATTGTTGTGTGTATGTGTATTTATGGTGGATTGAAGAGAGAACTGTGAAACAGAGAGAGGGAAAAAGCTTTGTACGATTCAAAAGGGGGGAGGATTGTGACTTTAGGGTTTTCTCATGAACATATTTTTTTTGTTGAAAGCGGGTCCGGACCACTTAACCCGAACCGGCCCAGGATATTGTTTGTTGTTGTGTTCCTTTTTATAACTTAGGTTTTCCCACTCTTGCACTCTACCGGGTTTAGTGCACCCTCAGCCCAATTTTCCTTTTTTTTATTTCAATTTTTTCTAGCTTGTTTTGTTTTTATAATACTTTTCTTTTTTATTTTCTTTTTATTAATAAAATTATAAACTTTATTTTAAATATTTTCAATTTAAGACATAAAAATTTGTTTAAATCTATTTGTTTTTTTGTTAAGATATTTTCATGAAAATCACAAAAATATTTTCTTTTGGTATTTTTTTTATAAAAAATCTAAAAATATGTTCTTTAGATGTATGTATAGGATTCTATTCCTTTCTTTTAATTTCATTTTTAAAATACCAAATAGATTTATTTTTCTCTTAGAAATAATCTTGGATGAATGGTCTTGCATTAATTACTTACATTTGTCATGTATGCTTGTATGCTTTGATTACTTAACTTCATCGTCATTCAATCAAATGTATCCTCTCCCCGTGTGATGTAATAATTATTTGATTTTTCTTTATTATTTTATCTTAATTATTTATCATCGTCGTGCATCAAACTTTTCAAGGAACTAATTCTCGAATGCGAGCCAATTTTCCACCATAAGTCAACACTTTTGTGTTGCAAACAACCTCACATGGCTTCCTCTTGGGGTCCTTAACGAAACACATGCACACTGAAACATATGTACACTTGCACACATTTTTAACTTAATCGTGAGCTTTTCTACAATGAGACCTATTCTATTAATTATTCTAATTAGTCGTCTAGAAGACTAGCCCACTTTGCTAGTGCAATTGTAGATCTAGTTGCATTATCGTTTCATTCATTTTCCACCTTGTATGGGCTTGTGAACTTTACTTGTCTATCATGATTTAACAAGTGTATTCTCCCATTTTGGACGTGTAATAGCTTAATAGTTTTATTTTTCTTTTATTCGCTTATTCAGTATTGTACACTTAATTAAATCAGTCAAACTCCTGCATTCTTGGTCCATATACCAAGCTCACAACCAATTTGATAAGTCGAGTGTGCTTCGTCAATTACAATCAACCACCTCATGCATGGTTGGTCCATACACCAAGCCCCTAACCAAATTGGTAAGTCGAGTTTGCTTTTGCAATCGCAATCAACCTTTTGATCTCATCTTAAAACACTTTCATAAATAAACTCAACGCTTGATCCTGTAAGTCTCAGAGTGCCTAAGAGGGGGGGGGGGGGGGGTGAATTAGGTCTTATAAAATTTATTCGGTTTTATGAGAATGCTTGGTAGTAATTTTGGTTAAGTGTTTGAAGGTTTTGATTATATCTTTATCTTTTCCTGATTATGGTGATGAAAGCGATAAATGCGGAAAAGTAAAGAACACGGTGATATATCCTGGTTCCCCTCACAATCCGAGAGTACTCCAGTCCCCTTTCCAACACGAAAGAGATTTCACTATAGTTAGAATGATTGTACAGCCTATGCTTACTATCTAACCTATAGGGTGATCAAAGGTTCTTAACACCTTTAAGACCAAACAAACACTAATGTGAATGAAGAACAATCCTCTTCAAATCACAACACTTACTTCCAACAATCCTGGATAGTAAGGGAAAATCTTTAAGTAATACAATGATTTAGTTTGAAGTATATGGAGAGCTTTATCAATCTTCAATTGATCTTCTTCTTCAAGATAAAAACAATTCTCAACAATGTATATAAATATTCACAATGCATGTATGAAACTTGTAATGATAATGAAAGTGTATATGGCAAGTTTCACAAAATTATGAACACATGAAAGTTTAAATTCAAATGTGAGTGAATGAGAAAATTGCTTATTGAAGAAGTATAATTGTTGTATGAAAATGTTATATGTGTTCTTTTTTTTAAATCTGAAAAAATCTGCATTTTATAAAGTCATAAGAACCTCTTCATTCATGCCATTTCATATGAAAAGTTGCAATGCATTCATGAAAAGATACCACTTGAAAAATGTTCAAAAAACCAAGTAAAAGCTGCATTGGTTCGCTAGGAACCGGTTCCGACACTGACAGAACCCAGTTCTTAGTGAACGTTATAAGTTGGAATTCAAAAATATCATGCAGGAACCGGTTCCCCTATTGGTACAACCCGGTTCCTGGTACAAAATCCAGGGACATGTTTTTTGAGAAATTCTGGAACCCGGTTCCATGTTAGGGAGGAACCGATTCCTAAAGGGTTATTTTCAAAAATACTTTTTGAAAGATATTTCAAACAAAGTTTTCTTGATCTTAAAGTTATGGAATATGTATATGTTGATGAATGCATATTGTGAACATCTATATTCAAGATTTTAAGAATTATTTATACCATATTGACATTTGATGATTTCTTCAATAATTCTTCAATAATCTTCAAGACTTTTATTTGATGTTGATAAGCTTTTTGCACATCCTTTGAAAGTTGATGTCCATGTTGTCTTCATCAAAACACATGCTTTAAATATGACTTGAGAAGCTTGCAATTACAGATCCAACTTCAAGTCGTTCTTAAAATGTGAAAATATTTTTTCTTAATCAATAAGAGGATTTAATGAAAGAGATAGGTTTCTACATTTCCTTTTTCTATCTTAACCTTAAACGTGTTCCCTTACGTGTCTTTGTTTAATTAGGATCCGACCAAAATACTTTAAATAAAACAAGTTCGAACAACTTGTTTCTCTCTTTCATAAAGAGGATTAAATGGATAAGTTAGGGACCTACTTAATCCTTTTCTAAGTGTGTGACTTCCAAATACCTACTTTGGTCATTCAAACACTCGTGTCCTACAAAAAACAACTCAACTCATTCAAACCTTTGGCCATTTGGCTTTTCTTTTTAAAACCTTTTCATAATGAATGTATTTTAGCCATTACATTATGAGACGAATACAAAGACTTAAGCCTCACATACGAGCAAAAAAAGTTGAAGTTCAAACGTTTGAAATGTCTAACGCATCATTCTTCTAAAATCAACCAACAAACTTTTCGTATTTTCTAGAAGAACTACGAAGTTCTGACTTTCCCATTGCACGATGTAGTACATAGGCATAAGATGCAAAGTCTTGCCGAGCTCAACAAAATAAATAAATAAAAAACAAAACCCTTATTCTTCCTCTCTTTTTCTCGAATAAGTATAAGATTGCAAACTATCACACTACCGCTCGAACACACACTAACTAAATAGTTCCCATCGAGTACGGTGAATGTGAGGGATACTAATACCTTCTCCTTGCATAACTGACTCTCATACCCTTCTCTTGGTCTCGACGACCATTTCTTTTTATTCAATATTTTCCTGTTTCTTTTAGAACAAATAAATCTCGGTGGCGGTTTCATTGTTTAATATTTTTTGAGGCGCGTCACCTTAAAAGAGAGAAAATAACAATGAGAAATAGAAATCATTGTTTTTATAGGAGATTAAAAAATGGGGATAATAAGTAGCAATTTTGATATGGCCACAAAGATGAAAGGAGAGGGGGGGGGGGGGGGGGGGGGGGGGTATTGAAAGCTCATAATATTTTCTTGTTTTCCCTCCTCTTTTTATTATTGTGGTTTTTGTTTACTAAACTTTGATGTAATAGGTAATTTTATGGTATTTCTTTATTAAAGATGAATGTTTGGTTGTAATTTGGGTATTGAACTGTTTTGAAGAGATATGTGTTATTCAAAATGGAAACATCATGTTCAGGAACCTCTACATTTTTCTCTTATGTTATGTATGCTTCTAATTTTTGTATTTGATTGACCTATATTTATTAAGAAAGAACTCTCTCATTTATAGGTATAATTTTATCATTAATGTATTTTTGTATCTATTAGATAACTATAAATATTGATTTTTGAATTTATTTATATACAAAAAAAAAACTTGAGAATGTATTGAAGGACGAGACTGGATTTATATGATTCTAGAGATTTTGTTTAACTATTAATCTTTTCCAAAGATTCTAATTTAAAGTCGCGGTGTTTCAAAGTCCATGAAAGAGTGTATGAGTAATGCTTCTATGTGGAGGGAGATAGACAATTATTTTGTTTTTATTTAATACTAGCACGGGTCCATTAATTTATTTAGATATTATTAAAAAAACACTACTACACAATGAAAAACAATTCAATTTAATCATAAAATAAATGAAGCAATCAAAAGAATGCTATGATATTAGTAAATTTACCATTGAAAAAATAACTACCTTATTCAATTTTTAAAATTGTGAAATTCGTGCACTCTCAACGATGTAATTATAATATCAATAAATGACAATCCAACCACAATGCAAGAAAAAATTTCAATCTCTTTCGCTCGCAATCTCTGCTTTAGTTTGATTTTCCTTCTCGATTTAGTGTTTGGTAGATCGATGATTGTTGATGTGTGCGTGATGTTGTGATTGAAGAACCTTGATGATGATTGAGGATTGGAAGTCACTGCAAATGGAGTATGAAGAAGATGGAGGTTTGAAGCATGATGATGAAGATGACACAATTCAAAGATAACATATTCATCTCTTCAAATTGCAAGCACCGCTATCACTTTCTCAAGGTTTGTTTCCATTCCCCTCTCTCAATTTCACTCCCAATTTTCTGTTTCACGAACAAGGGTTTTCTAATCTTCTTTCCTTTTCTTAGACTTAAGCCAAAGTGCAGGTCTGTTGAGCCTAACACGAGTTGGGAGTCAGAGAGTCATTCAACTATCAGCCGAATTCATGCTTTTCTTCTCTGTATTTGGTATTACATTTCAATTTGTCCCTTCCTATCAAAAAATTAACTCTTCATATGGACAAAGAAAATGAAAAACTGATGGAAACCAAACCATGTTACCTTTATATATGCTGCAAAATTAACTCTTCATATATGTTGTTGAAGAAACATCTATTTGCATAATTCATTTTGATATGGAATTAAGTTTTACATTCTCAATTAGGAATACATTTTCAACCGATTATGTACAATTTTTTTTTTCCGTTATCACGAGTAAATTCTGAGTTACTCTTCTTTTCTTTCATGGCTTGTGGTAAGTATGAAGACATTTCTGCTGCTGGACTAGAATAGTTTGTCACCATCATTGATAATACATACTTGAAAAAAGAGTTATAAATAAAATTTGGTATTATTACTGGAAACTTCATCTTTTTAATTTGCGTTCATAATGACTGATATATGAAACACCTAATTATTGGTACTTGATAGATGTTGAAAATGGAGAAAGAGGTTCTCAATGTTCTGAAGTTCCAATTATCTGTTCCTACAATCAAAACATTTCTCAGCTACATAATACATATACAATTTTTGTTCAAACATAGTTTAAATTCGACGGAACTCTAACCATCATCTTCGACTTTCAAGAGGTTCATCCAAGTAGCACAATCTTCTTACAAGGTACTTGATATACACTGTACTTGATATTGAATATTTGAATTCTTAATCCATATTCCCTCGCACTGCAGTAACGAGATCAGCATCGTTGAATTTGTCTGCATATCACATTTCGTGATTAATAAATCATATTCCAAATACATATTAAAAATCTGAGTTGATTGATCTTTGATCAAACCACGCCAATTTCTTAACTGTGGCAATTGTTTGATTATCTGAATCTTCTGAAAGTGCTTCTATCAGTCAACTACGAAACCAGATTAACAAAGTGAAAGTTGATTGTACTTTTTTTGTTGTTATCAGGTGGCTTATCCTAATCTGGAATTCATGGCAAATATTTAGCAGAGCTTGCACTAGTTGAATACAACTTCTTGCAGTTTCAACCTTCCAAGATAGTTGCATATGTAGTTTTAAGTCTGAAAATGTAAGTTAATTAAATGCTCAAGTTTGAAAATATTATTCTATTGCATGTTCCTTCGTGCACCTACCCACGCTTCAATTGATATTTTGTGTATAGTCAAATATGAAATCAATTGTTCCATAAATATCACATTCTCTATAGAATTGCCTCAAAGAATGTCTTGTAACTATAGAATGTTGACATGTCTGCTCTACTTCTCATTGCAACTGCTTGATTTTTTTCAGGTCCAGCAGTGTTGTGAAATGTTACATTAATTGCCACAAACCCTTGACCTATCACAGTTGTAAATCCAGATGATGCATCAAGTATAAGTAGGTGAAATATTTGATATATAACATATGATATAATATAGGTTTTTTCTTACCAAATGTAGTTGAATTGAATGTTGTGAAACCATCATCAACATTGTGATTGCCTGTGATAACTATTTTATTGATTCCTTATCCAATCATCATCAAGTACTTCTTCTTTTTGTCAATATGACAAATTTGGTATGATCCTACTTCCTATATATTATCAACAAAGCAAGAGTTCAAATCATGTAGAATATTTTCAATTCATCTCATGGATTGTTAGAACATAACACAGGAAGCAAAATATTTTATTTTTTTGAATTCTCTCTCTTTCTGTCCTCCCCGAATACTTGGTAATATGCGTTTTAGTGTTGCAGTAAAATTGTTTCCTTGTGTTGTAATACTATATATATTTAACCCTCCTCAAATCTCACACTTAATTTTGATTAAGGTGAGTTTGGATTTTGTTCAAAGGAAAACTTCATGAGCCTAATTGAAGATCTTTTTACAAACAGGTTGCTAAAAGAGTAGTAAGCAAGGAATTGCATTCAGCTTCTGCTATTGTTAGGCCTCCAGGTCATCATGCAGAGCATGATGAAGCCATGGGATTTTGTCTTGTGACAATTCATGCATCTTATCTCTTAGATGAAACTGTAAGTAATGTAAGTCATGGGATTCTTTATTTACAAAGAGTTTTGAGCATTTGATCAGTTTGTTAACTTAATGCCCTTTTATTTTTTCTGGTTTTGTCATGTGCATGACAACAAGAATTTGGTGTAAAGAAATTTTTATTTGTTGACTGAGACGTCCATCATGGAAATGGTACTCAAAAAATGTTCTGGAATGATTCTCGAGTGTTATTCTTCTCCATTCTTAGGTGTGTAAATTATTATTGTGTATTTTTTAATTATCTTATTGATTGGTAATCTTGTATTTATTTCTTAGCACCCATCAATAATTCTAATTCTTGATGTTAATTTGTTCCATCGCCATAACTTAGAAAACCGAATATGTCAATTTTAATTGTTGATGATGTTCCGCGTGGATGTTCTCTCTTATCCCTCTACTTTGTTGCAATTTCAGATTGTGAAGAGTACATGATTTTTCATTAAAGACTTATATGTGTTATTATATAGGTAATATGTGGAGATGGAACAACAATATCATAAATTTGTCGATGTCATTTTCAATATAGTTTGGATATTCTCTGCGTGAAAGTACAGAGAATAATTCTTCGAGTCAGGTAGGATTTACAATGTGCGGATATTAATGTTTTTTATCTATGTTATGTATGGTGTTTGAAGGATGTCCTGATATGGAGGAATTTGATGGGAATCATTTGGTGTTTATTGGGGCTGGATTCACTACAACATTAAACGTTGCCTAAAACAATAGGGGACGTTTTCTAGGCGTCTCCTGTGCGAGCGTTACCTATTGTTTTAGGCGACGTTTTTTTTATGTTTTTTGGGAACGCTTTTGAAAAACGTCGCCTATAGTAAAGGAATAGGGGACGATTATTTACGGCCTTTGAGACAACGTTTTTTAAGCGTTGCGTTGCCAAATTCGGCTACAATTAACAATCGTTGCCTTAAACCTGAATCAGGAAGATCGTTTTTGAAGTGTAGCCATAGCTTATAGGTTGTTGTTTTATAGTGTCCACATAAAATATACAATTTTGCAATTATTATCAAAATAATATAGTCAATAATAATTGGCTTCAAAAATAATATTGATTATATAACTTAAACCATACATCCATAAAAGTTGTAATATAATAAAATCGAGTTCAAACTTTAATTCAAGATATAGTATATAGAGTACACAAAATGCCTAACGTAACAATATTACTTTTAATACTTTGAAGTATGACCCTAGTAAAATAACTAAAAACATAGTTCAGCAAAAGAACAAAAATCATATTTCAAGTTTAATGCTTTCAACTACAAGCCAAAAAAAAGACATCATCCAACTCATTCAAGTTTGTCTTCTAGGAGTAAAGCATCCAGATCGTCCTCTTGAAATTCGTTAGATATGTCATCCTCCATAAATTCTTCATCTACGTCGTCCTCTTGAAATTCACCATCTATATCCTCCTCTTGAAATTCATCATCTAGATCTATGTCGTCCTCTTGAAATTCGTCATCTACGTTGTCCTCTTGAATTTTATCATTTAGGTCGTCCTCTTGAATTTTATCATTTATGTCGTCCTCTTGAATTTCATCATTTATATCGTCCTTTTCAACATCTTCATTGATACATCGCTGCATAAGAAAATAAAATAAAACACATTAACCATAAGTATTTTTGGTCCAAAGGACAATTAAGACATCAACAAGAATTAAACCTCGCACAAATAAAAACTAAACCAATGAGCAAAACACATTGTTTATATTCTTCACATCTCATGGATGTGAATTAATTATGAAGGTTTTTAATGGATGTGAATTTTCGTTCTAAACTGTAATAGGTGACATGAGCTTACTAGCAAATAAATCAATTATGAAAACCATTCTGTTTTTGGCTCACTATTCAGGACTTACACTATTCAGCCTTTAATATGTAAAGGCGTAAGTCCTGAATAGTGAGCCAAAAACAGAATGGTTTTCATAATTGATTTATTTGCTAGTAAGCTCATGTCACCTATTACAGTTTAGAACGAAAATTCACATCCATTAAAAACCTTCATAATTAATTCACATCCATGAGATGTGAAGAATATAAACAATGTGTTTTGCTCATTGATTTAGTTTTTATTTGTGCTAGGTTTAATTCATGTTGATGTCTTAATTGTCCTTTGGACCAAAAATACTTATGGTTAATGTGTTTTATTTTATTTTCTTATGCAGCAATGTATCAATGAAGATGTTGAAAAGGACGATATAAATGATGAAATTCAAGAGGACGACATAAATGATAAAATTCAAGAGGACGACCTAAATGATAAAATTCAAGAGGACGACGTAGATGACGAATTTCAAGAGGACGACATAGATCTAGATGATGAATTTCAAGAGGAGGATATGGATGGTGAATTTCAAGAGGACGACGTAGATGAAGAATTTATGGAAGATGACATATCTAACGAATTTTAAGAGGACGATATGGATGTTTTACTCCTAGAAGACAAACTTGAATGAGTTGGATGATGTTTTTTTTTTTGGCTTGTAGTTGAAAGCATTAAACTTGAAATATGATTTTTGTTCTTTTGTTGAACTATGTTTTTAGTTATTTTACTAGGGTCATACTTCAAAGTATTAAAAGTAATATTGTTACGTTAGGCATTTTGTGTACTCTATATACTATATCTTGAATTAAAGTTTGAACTCGATTTTATTATATTACAACTTTTATGGATGTATGGTTTAAGTTATATAATCAATATTATTTTTGAAGCCAATTATTATTGACTATATTATTTTGATAATAATTGCAAAATTGTATATTTTATGTGGACACTATAAAACAACAACCTATAAGCTATGGCTACACTTCAAAAACGATCTTCCTGATTCAGGTTTAAGGCAACGATTGTTAATTGTAGTCGAATTTGGCAACGCAACGCTTAAAAAACGTTGTCTCAGAGGCCGTAAATAATCGTCCCCTATTCCTTTACTATAGGCGACGTTTTTCAAAAGCGTTCCCAAAAAACATTAAAAAAAACGTCGCCTAAAACAATAGGCAACGCTCGCACAGGAGACGCCTAGAAAATGTCCCCTATTGTTTTAGGCAACAATTTTCAGAGTTCTGACAACGTTTTTCAATTGTTGCTGGAGAGCCTAAATGTTGTAGTGATTCTTTTATGAAATCTTTATATATTTGAAATTATAGTTAATCTTATAACATAGTATAACGATTTATTCTTTGATCATGAATTATTTTTGAGATGACATTGCAATATTTAATCTATTGATGATCGTCTCGCCAAATCTTACAAGTCATCAAAGTTTAATGATTTTTCGGAAAAGAATGAATGACATGATTTCTTTGAGATTTTTGAGGTTAGTCGTAATTCGATTATTATTTTAAATATCTTGTGAAATATTATATAATTGCATATAAGGAGAAATTTATTTATAATGTTTTATACTCTCTATTTATTTTCACTAAATAAATATATATAAATAAAAATCTTGTCTTACGAGTATATTAGAAATCTTATTATTTGAGAGTTATATTCTGGATAATTAAGTAACCGCTATTAATTTTTATAATTGTAATCTCACCTATCGTGAATACAATTATATAATTTTTTTTATTTTGAATAAATTATAATTATTTTAATTTATATGATTGTAACTCATTTATCGTGGGTACAATTGTATAAATTTTGTTTAGCAAAATAATTAAATTTATTTTAATTATAATAAATATTATATTAATTAAAATTATACCCTATCGGTGTATTATTGTTAATATAATTTATTTCTGTTCGATATACTTGTGATTTATAATTTTGTAAATTATGATTCGACTAGTCTATTGGTATTTAAATAAATAAAAAAATTGTGACATAATATTTGTACATTGCTATATTTCTTATTTATTATTATTGATGCTCTCATATGAGATTACAATCAATGGCGGAGCCAGAAATATTATAAAGCTTGGGCGAAAAATTAAAGATCGCAAATTCACATTGTATATAATATATAAATACTCATCAATCAAAATAACAGAGACTCGCCATTTTATCCACAAAAATATAGTTTAAAATAAAAGAGACAAATATAACCTTACAATAGCGGGTTAAATAAAATTATGAGGCAAATGTCTTTTCCGAGACTTTTTTGCGGTGAATGTTCGAATAATATCAATATCATTAAGTGATTTGAATATCTCCCGCTCAGTGTAACATACCATCAAGTCATTGAACCACACATCATTGATCTTATTGCGCAATTTAGACTTGATAATCTTCATTGCTGAAAAAGCTCTTTCAACGGATGCTGTCGACACCGACAATATCAAAGCTAACTCAATAAGTTTATAAACCAATGGAAATAC